CAGGGAGGAACCTAAGGAGGTGAAGCGCGGAGGCAAGGAGCACACCAAGAAGGACCTGAAGCTCAAGCAGACCAAGCGGGACGACGCTCAGGACGATCGAGCTCAGCTTCGAGTACCTGCCAGGATCCAAAGGCACATGGAGGAACGCCAGAAGGCGGAGGAAACGGCAGCAGTACCAGCAGAGGTACCGCAAGATCAGCCGGGCACATCATCGTCAAGTACGCGACAGCCTGCGCAGGGGAAACGCCAGGAACACCCAGTCACGATCAAGGAGTTCTTGCTGGACGATGTGCCGATCAGCATCAAACGAGCCCGGGCACAAACTGGGCCAGTCAAGCAGCTGGCAGATACACCGCTGCTCGTCGAGGCGTTCGCGGCCGAGCGGATGCGCAGCCAAACGACGAGAGCCAACAAGCATCAGGGGATCAACTTGAAGACGCTGGGCGATGACAAGCTCAAGTGGAAGAAGATGCAGCAAGCGGTGGAGAAGGAATGGAACACGCGGTGCAAGTACGATGCAACAACCCACATATCAGGAGCAGCAGTTGACAAGGTCGACCCGGACAAGATCCTGAGCTCCAAAGTGGTCTGGACCGATAAGGACCCCACGACCTTCGAGCCGAAAGCCAGGATCTGTGGAAGAGGCTACGAGGAGGAGTTTGACGACAAGCTACGACGGGACTCACCTACAGTCTCAGCGCAGATGACGTTGCTCCTGGGCAGCATCGCATCGAGCCTCAACTTAGACCTAGTCATCGCAGATGTGAAAGGAGCCTTTCTGCAAGGCAAAGCCATCACACGAGAGCTCTACTTCCGTATTCCGACGAACCTCGGGAAGTGCAACATCCCGGGAGTGAAGGCAGGTGACCTGCTGAAGTTAAACAAGAGCATCTACGGGACCAACAATGCAGCGCGTGCGTGGTATGTGGCGCTACGCGAGACGCTCGTGAAGCTTGGATGGGAAGGCCTGAAATTCGAGCCCGCGACCTTCATCAAGCGCAATGCGGCGGGCACGATCATCAGGATCACGTGCCTGCGCGTGGATGACTTCCTCATGGGCATCAAGCAGGACGACCCGGAGGGCGCCAAGATCATGGAGGACCTGCAGAAGGAGATCGACTTTGGCGAGGTCAAGTACGCGAGGAAAGAGCAGGCGGCGTTCTGTGGCCGGGCCTACAAGCAGGACGAGGACGGCAGCATCAACGTAACCATGGAGGCCTACTTGAAGTCGATGCAGACTGTACGTATCTCCAGAGAGCGCAGCAAGGCACCAGATAGCGCCTTGACCCATGCAGAGAATCGTGAACTACGAACGGTAGTTGGACAACTGCACTGGGCTGCGCGAGTGATATGCTTCGAGGAGGCCTTCGAGGCATCCCGACTGGCATCTACGCTGGGAACTCCGACGGTGAAGGACCTACAGGACGGCAACGCGGCCATCAGGCGGATACAGAAGCGGGACGACTTGCTGATCAGGTTCTCAGCAGGCCTGAACCTGTGGGAGACCATGGTGATCAATGTCACCGACAGTGCTTTCGACAATCTGCCGAAGCACAGATCACAACGCGGACACTTCATCATGCTGGGCGACCAGAAGATCAACGAGGACCACAGTAACAAGTACAAGGTACACTGCATTGGGTGGCAGTCTTCCAAGATTCAACGAGTGGTGCGATCTACTCTATCGGCGGAGGCCTACTCATGTGCGGATTCGGTGGACATGTTAATATGAACAAGGTCGACCCTGGCGGAGATCATGTACCCAGAGATGGACATGACCGAGATTGTGCACGACACTTGCCCGGTGAAATGCATTTCGGTGACCGACTGCAAGAGCCTATACGACACGATCACAAAGGAGAAGATTTCTATGACGGACAGGAGGCTTTCTTTGGAAGCGGCTATATTGCGGCAGTCACTCAAAGAGGTCAGCATCAAGTGGGTCAAGAGCGAGCAGATGCTAGCGGACTGTTTGACGACAGTACTTCCTGGAGGCTACGCGAGGAAGATAGTTATATCAAACCTGTGGACTCTTGGGCCTGATGATAGGGCACCATCAATACGTGGACGAAAGCTTGTTGGACCAGAGAAGGTAGCAGGCAACAAGGAGGTAGACGAGCTGAAAGCGAAGATGGCCAAGTACGTCAAGCAGGAGCTGTACGATGACACCGGGAAGGACGACGAGGAGATCCCTACGTGGCCGGTGGAGACGTACAACTACGTGGACGGGTGCTTCTACGACGACAAGGACGAGGTTCAAGACGAGGACTACGTCGAGGCATTCTACACGGAAGAGCTAACGGACAACTACCTGATGGAGAGGAGTGGCGCGCAGAGAACCATCCAGATACCTGACCAAGCTGTAGTTATGCTTCAACTTTGTGCACTTGCAGTGTATGGAGTTTGTCTTTCGATGTCTCCTACGGTGGTGACAATAGTCTCTATCATCGCGGGCATCATCATATTCATTTACGTAATGAAGCCTAAGCAGACCGACAGCGAGGACACCGCTGAGCCGATGGAGGTGGATAGTCCAAGCAGCGACAGCCTGTTCAAGCCGGAGTTGCCCGTGAAGCCGGTCAAGGTCAAGTCCAGGACGGCGAAGGCTACGCCGAAGGCTACGACGACAACACTCGCAGTACGAGCCGATCCAGAGACCTACGATGATGAGATCATGGGAGATGGACCAATTATGCTGGGATGCAGTGCTCTACTGAGACAGTGGCTGGAGACCATGGGACCGACGATTATCAGGAGTGGCAAGTACGAGGGCGACAGCTATGAGACGATCTATACGAAGGACAGGCACTACGCAAATTGCCTAGGACGGTGTCTCAAGCTGGACGCAGACGAGAGCAGGAGTTATAATCTCGACCCGAGCATCAAGGTTTACATTGCATACAGCATCATCAAGTCAGCAGTGCGTGCACGCTGATCCTCACTACTATATATGGGACGATATATTGGAGCCAGCCAAGGCAGTGGCTCAGATGTGAACGTTGGTGAGGATGATGAGTGATTTGTGTTACGATTTCCAGATGGTGAGTGATGTTTGGTCATCATCTACAGATGAGAAGTGAAAGCGCCCCTCAATATATGTTGCTCGGTGCGCAGACCTCAGGTAAATATTTGTTTATATGTTGCTCAGTGCGTGGATTTCTTCTATCTTAGTATCTGTTGCTCGGTGCGTTGTTTTCTTGTATTGATATCTATTGTTTGATACACGGACGGTAGTTTGACCGTTCGAGCAGAGATTATGGGATTTCTTTTCTTTGATATCTGTTGCTTGGTGCACGGACGATAGTTTGATCGGTCGGGCCAATCATATTATACAATATTCTGGAGGCTTGCTGCAGAATTTGCCAAGGCATTCTTTAGCAACGTTTCCTTTTCCTGTGTGAAAGTTATATTAGCAAGGATGCGCGTTATAGGATGATGTTTAGAATTATCTATGTTATTGCTCTCGCACGCTCATGCTTGCACTCTCTTGCTCACTATTGCCATTTGTGGCTTGGACCCGCCCAGCTGAGGCGGGAGGGTGGACGCACCTATCGAACGCTGAGTTTGATTCGGTATAAGATATCCTATCATCTGCCTGTCTTCTTCTTGCATCAAGAGGTTGTGGGTGGAGAGACAATGATCATTATTTACAAGAGGTATGGGTTACTTTTCCTCCTCTGACGACCGTTGCCCCCGAACATATAGTGTAGCCATCTTGACGGGTACCGTTTCCCTGGCGGCGTGGCGAGCAGGCGCCCGCCGCGGAGAAGGTACTCTAAATATTACTCGGCGGGCGCGCTGCCCCTGGGAGGGCGACGCACACAAAAACACACACACACACACACTTCGTATCAGTATCAGGTCGGTCCACGGCAAATTAAACAGCTACTCAAAACATATGCGAGCATAGCCAACATTCAAAAATAGCCAACAATACACAACACATACACAAGCATAGCCAAACACAGCCAAAACATACCCAACTAATCGTCCCCAGATAATGTGTTCATTGTTTTTGAATATTCCTCCTGCAGAGGGACACGCCCGACTTAGTATTAGTATGCTGGGGCGGCGCCGAACTCATCCTCGTTCTGGGCGGGGGGGGGTCGGTCGAAGAGGGGAGAGCCTGGCTCAGGGAGGGACGAGGAGGAGGAGGAGGAGGAGGGAGGAGGAGGAGGACAAGGAGGAGGAGGAGGAAGGAGGAGGAGGAGGAGGAGGAGGAGGAGGAGGAGGAGGAGGAGGAGGAGGAGGGAGGAGGAGGAGGAGGAGAGGAGGAGGAGGAGGAGGAGGGAGGAGGAGGAGGAAGGAGGAGGAGGAGGAGGAGGAGGAAGGAGGAGGAGGAGGGGGAGGAGGAGGAATGGGGGCCGCGGGACGGGGAAACCGCACGCTCCTGCCGCGCGGCGAGGCACGAGCACCTCCGGGGGAGCAAGAGGTACCCAGAGCTGCCCCGGGGCGCAGCACGCAGCACGCAGCGCGTTGGCCATGGAGCTCAACCCGTAGACTGAAAACGTACAGTCGAGGCGTTGACCCTAAATACGGAGCGAGGCCCCTTCTTCCCGTAAGTTCAACCTCGATTTCCCATGGGAGACCTCAGGAAAACCCGAGGCGAACTCTGAAACAATCAAGGAACACCGAGCCCCTCCCCAACGAGAAGGGTTCCTGATTCAGCGCCCCGACTGTAGGCCTGGCACGATGCGCTCGCCAAAACATGGACCGACGCGTGCCGAACCAGCACGTGAAGGTGGTAACACGGACGATTTGAGCACGGCACGTGTTGCGTTTCAACACGGGCGTATCAGGGTCACCGAGGCGAGGAAGGAACCATCTGGGGAAACCAACCGATGCCGATACTACTGCTCCCTGGACCTCTCCCGAAGTGCGCTCTAGTCAAGATTTCGAGGCGGATCCAGAGGGCCTCCTGAAGGGAAAGACGAAGGGTAGCGGTATATGGTATATGCACCTTTCTCTCCTCTGTCGAGTCAGAGCCGACGTCGGGCCAGTCCCATCCCCCTGCCAACGCTCCTGACTTTGTCTGCAAGCGTGCACGCCTGCGCTTGGACGGCAGCCCAGCCTTGGGGCGCGGGGGCGCCCCAGGTGGCCACTCCGACTGCACCAGAGAACCAAACATCGGCATGAGCAGCACAGGCCCCCGGAAGGACGTGCGGCCATCGTCGTACTGCCACGAGTCGCGGAACAAAAAACAGCAGAATCACAATCTGTCGGAGGTCTGCGCGGATTTCTTGGCTCAGCGCTGGATCTCCCCTGACGGCGTCTCCGGCGCCGCCCCTAGCACGCTCCGCGCGACAGGGAGGAGGGCCCGGCGCCGATCCAAGAAGTCCGCGCGGAGCTCCGACGATCCTGTTTATGCCGTGTCGGGCTTCCCCTGCGAGGAGCAACTCAAAGACGCCATCCTCGCGGCCGAGGATAATGAAATGATTGTCACACATTGAATGTCTATTCACTGTCTTTGAGCAGGGGATCGACCGTCCCTGGATTCCTATAGGCCTACCACGAAAGATTGTTAGGACCCCAAAAATGTTCTCATAACAAAAACAATGTTCTTAGAACCCGATGTGCTCAAACAAGACAGTCTCAGCCAGAACTGTTCGAAAAACATGTCTAAGAACACTTTGTGCAGAGGAAAAAAGATCCTTAGAACATTCTTTTGTGGGCCCATCGGCGAGCTAGGACGCTTCGCCACTGCTTGATGTCCTGCGCCTCGAATGATCAGCGCAAGATCAACAACGAAGGGACCTGCCTGGCCACGACGGGCCTCGGCCACGAAGAGGTTGCCCCGACCCATGTCTGCGAAGACCGTGGCCGGGCCTGGACCCAAAGCGGTCCTCACTTCAGCGTCTTGCCTGTGCGGGGCGCCAGGCTGCCTGGAGAAGGAGGAGAAGGAGGAGGAGGAGGAGGAGAGGAGGAGGAAGAGGATGGAGGAGGAGGAGGAGGAGGAGGAGGAGGAGGAAGGAGGAGGAGGAGGAGGAAGCAGGAGGACGAGGAAGGAGGAGGAGGAGACACGGAGGGAGCATCGAGGACCGAGGATCGGAGCGCATCGAGGCGCCCTCGCTCCTGGCTGGGCTGCTCCTGGGCTGGGCGTTGAGTCACGAGGCAGGCGGGCGGCCGGAGAGGGTGGGTCTCAGACCGCCCACCCCCCCGAGCGCGGGGGGCAGACGCAGTGCCTCATCGACGGCTGAAGTGCACTCACGCCCCTGCCATGAAGAGCGCACTTCTGGCAGTTGGATCTCTCAAGCTCTCCGCCGCCTCTGGCCGTGTGCGTTGCGAGCAGGGACACAGCAAGGCCGCGGGAACGCGCGGCATTGACAGTGAAGCTCCGCACACGTGACAAATGTTAACGAGCAGGAATTCAGCAAACCGCCAGAGGCGGCGGAGAGCTTGAGAGATCCACCTGCCAAAAGAAGCATGAAGTAGGATTGGGTTCCGTCCGCCCCCTGAGGAGGCGTTGGAAGGCGTTGTAAGTAGATCGGGTAGGAAGGCGTTGGAAGTAGGAAGGCGTTGGAGTAGATCGGGTTCCGTCCGACCCCCGAGGAGGACGGAGAGTGTGAAGCCACTCGATCATTGAAGCAGGAAGGCGCTTAATGTAGATTGGAGCCGGGGATGCCGACAATGCAAACGTACGTTCAACGACCGATGGGTACATGAGGAGCGAGGCCCTTTCTCGGCCCCCAGCGCGCCTGGGTGCACGAGGAGCGCTGGACGAACAGCCATGGGAGGACCTGAGGAACAGCGAGCCCCCTCCGAACCCGAACTGCTCCACATGTAGGCAGAGGGACTTCGTCACGTGATGCGAAGTTTCCCCCTCCCCACCGAATCCCCCTCCTCTTCCTCCTCTTTATATCCTCCTCCTCCTACTCCTCCGATTCGCATCACGTGACGGATCCAAATCGCCGAACATGTCAGCGTCACGGCATCACGTCCGCAGGGAGGCGTCTTCAAAGCGGGCGGGGATCCGGGAAGCCAGAAGAGCCTGCTCTCGTGTTCGCGCGGTTCTCTCGGGCCTGCGCTGCACCGAATGATTCCGCTCGTGCCTCCGAGAATGTGTGCTCGTGCTCTTCGGTTCTCTGAACACGCCGCTGCCTGCGCACGCTCACCTCTTGTTGGTGATAGTCTTCGCGCGCTGGGCGTACTTCAAGGCCATGACTGTCTCGTCCTTAGAACGAGAATGATGTTATGATAGACTTGGCTCAAGATACGTTCCAAGAATTCCGTAGTGGTCCCCGTTTCTGCGGCCCTTGTGGACCATTCGGAAATAAGGGAACCATGGGAACTTTGAACATCTTGGAACGCATCAGCAGCATGACCACTTGCTACTCTGAGTCCTGGTTGGAGCTCGCAGGCGAACAGTTGATGAACATGAGTGTCTTGGCGGTGCCGCCAAGGGAGTCCTGCATTAGCTGCGTCAGCTTGTGGTTTCTGTACGGAATGACCTTAGACCCCTTCGTTAGGGCCTCGATGACGTCACCCAGAGACGTAAGGGACTTGTTGATCTCGATCGCTTCCTTCTGGCCGTCGCCCGTCACCTGAGACTTCGACAGCCGCTCCGAACCAGCCAGGTCGCAGATGAGCAGCTTGCCCCTCAGCTGCTGTTTAGTCTCCTTGTTGACGCTGATAATCTTGATGATCAGCACCAAGTGAGACCGGGAGCTCTCGCTGTTCATCGCCGTCGCGGCCACCGTTCTGGCTTTATTGCCCCTCTCGAGCAAGTCCTCGAGCTCCGCGGCGTTCGAGCACGTCTCTTCCGAGAGGTTCTCGATGGTGACGGCGCCGTTCTTCTCTTGTCGGACGTTCAGCTTCTTCTTCTCTGTCTTGAGGTCACCTTTGCTGAGCAGGTCCACAAGATCGCTCCTGTACAGCTCCAGCATCGACCCCATGACAGTGAATTGGAACCGATTCTCGTTCTCTCCAAGGATCTTGAATATGTGCGCGATGGCTTAGCGAACGGGTAACGGCGTGACATAAGCTTCGCCGCCATCGGGGACTCATGTCCCAGGGCGACTGAAAAGTGTGTGTACACGAACTGCCGACGCAAAGGCACGAACTTTTCAGCCGTCCGAGGACAGGCGTCCCGGCGTCCCCGATGCAGGAGCAGTCATCTTCGAATCTTGAGATCGGATCAAATCGGAATGTGCGTCAGATCGGCCAACATCGGCACAGGGTCCAATTCGAATCGGATCGTCCGCGCCAGGGTGCACAGCAGCAACATGTAAACATCAGGGCGCGCCAAATCATCAAGTTTCGCTATCAAATCGGATCAGGCCGGCCGATCTCGATATCGATATTGAACCTATCGGATAAGAAATAATATGCGATGGTGCACCACATCATGTTATTCCGTCCTTCGCTCGCTAAGATGGTCCGCGGCGAAACACCCAAATTGCCAGGAACTCCGCCCATGGTGAAGGTCTTGCCCGCGCCAGTCTGCCCGTACGCGAACATGGTCACGTTGTAGCCGTCCACCGCGGACTGCACCAGGTCCTTACAGTCCTTGGCACGAGCGAGGTGGAACGTTAAGGGGGCCCCCTCAGGGAGGAAGCATCGAGCTGGAATCGCCGAAACATCGCCGATACTAGACCAAGAACAAAAACAAAAACGCCATAAACGTAAACGTGTGGCCCTCCGCGCGGATTTCTTGGATCCGCGCTGGGCCCCCCTCCCCGGCGCGCGAAACGCGCATGGGGCGGCCAGCGCCGCCAGGCAGGCCCCAGCGCAGATCCAAGAAATCCGCGCGGAGCGCCAAACGTTCATGTTTATAGCGTTTTTTCTTCTTCGATACATATATATATATATATATATATATCGGCGGTGGACAAACCACCCTTCAGAAATCAACCTGTCGTGAAAACGGCCTGGGACCGAAACCGACAGATATATGGACCCGCACAAATCACGGACGTGACGCCCTCTCGCGAACCGAAAACGGCAAATTCGCTAATCCACGCGTCAGGGTAGGTGGTCTACCCAGACACGCGGCGTCCTGATTTGTTCCGTACGGGGCCCCTGAAGTCCCGGCTCTTTTTTCGGGACTGGCTTTTTAGCCTGAGTCCTTTTTTGACGGTCCCGAGGCCCGGCGAGGGCCCCCCGAGGCCGAACATGGGCGAGCGGGGATCGAGGCGACCCACCCGGAGCCAGTCCAGGGCCAGTCTCAAGTCGGGCATGATGTCCTACTACCTACTACCGTTAGGTCGGGCCTGTCCCCCTTCAGGGGGATTTTGGACGATAAATAAAAGATAGTCCAACAAAACTCCCGGAAATCGTCCTCAGAGTATTTTTCACTATTTTCGAATATTCCTCCTGTAGAGGGACAGGCTGGACTGAATCCTACAGGCGGAGCTTGAGGGAACATGAAACATACAGGAAAAAAAATACCAAAATAGCAACAAGTATGAAAATACCGTCCCCAGACGATTTCTAGACCATTTTCGAATATTCCTCTCTGTAGAGGGACATGCCCGACCTTACCGTTGACCGTGAAGGGGGCCCAACGCAGGGCACCGCTTCGTGACACCGATCAGAAACAAAACGCGCATCGCAGCAGATCGGCCGCGCCGGGCTGCACAACAACGCAACAACGCCACGCAGAGATCGGGCCGCATGGGGCCGTCGGAGAGTCGGAATCCGAATCGGACTGCGCGGGGCCACAATTCGGGGAGACGTAAGACCCGTGTACGGGGGACTCAGGTTGGCCCGACGGGGCCTACGTAAAAATGACGAGGCCCAATCTGAAATTTGACGCGAGCTCCCGCTGCAGACATCCCACGAAAACTGGACCGTCAAAATCCAGGACGCGCTCGTTAAAAAAGCGTCGGCAAACCCGAGTTCTGGCTTACTCGGGTCTTGCGTTTCCCCGAACAATCGATTCTGAATCAGACCGATCGGATCGAAATGGAGCCTGCAGGCAACCCAGACCCCCTTCGGGTAATGAAAACAAATCACGACGGGAAGTGTGTCTCTACCTTCGGCCTCGGGGGGGGGCCTCGGGGCCGTCAGGAAACGACTCTGGATGCAAAACCAGCCCAGGGGGATGGGTCGAGACCTCCAGGGGCCGACGCCATGAAAAGATCGTGACGTCGGGGGTCTGGGAACCCGGGCCACCCCCACACCCGCCACACCAATCTTGCCATCCAGCGGAGCCCAGCGGCAGAGAGGCAGGAAGCGGAGGAGGAGGCGGAGGCGGAGGAGGAGGCGGAGGAGGAGGAGGAGGAGGAGGAGGAGGAGGAGAAAGAGGAGGAGGAGGAGGCGGAGGAGGAGGAGGAGGAGGAGGAGGAGGAGGAGGAGGGAGGAGGAGGAGGAGGAGGAGGAGGAGGAGGAGGAGGAGGAGGAGGGAGGAGGGAGGAGGAGGAGGAGGAGGAGGAGGAGGAGGAGGAGGAGGGAGGAGGGGGGGGGGGAGGGCCAGGCGCGCGGCTCGCAGCCCGGCCGCGTGCACCTCATTAGCCCGGCGCCCTCGGGCGGGCCCCCCACCGAGCCCGCAGGGCGCCCCGCCGCGCCGACCCTCCGCGGCGCCCGCGCGCGCTGCCGGGAGCAGAAGCAGACCTGCTGCCCGTGGCGGCAGCGCCGGCGCCCTCCCAGCGCAGGGGGCGGCCGGCCAGGAGCTCCCACAAATCTCGACGCCCGAAATGGGTACGGAAAGAATGGGCACCAACAACAATTCCTGTTCATTTTGAACAGGACTCGCTGTCCACGCCGCCGCGGCCTGTGTCCATTCGAGACAGGAGGCCGCCTGCCCAACAGCGGCCGCTGTTGGTTTGGGACAACATTTGTTGTTAGGCATTGTACCCAATTTTTCCGTACCCATTTCGGGCGTCCAAAACAAAACACCCGCCACATCACATCCGATGTGTTCAGAGGGTCTATTCTGGGGCCTGCGGCCCGACGCGCGTCGTCGGCCGCTCGTGCCCCACGGCGAGGCCCCCTGGAAAAAAATGTGTTGAAAAAGCGCAGCCGACGAGCGGCGGGCAACCACGCTTTGATATTACCAATTATTGCTTTTCTGTAAGCGCCCCCCAACAAGTTCCAAATGGTGCGCCATGCGCGAGAATCCCTGGATCACTTCTCGAATCGGGCCTTCGCGCAAAAGGCACTGGCGTATCTGCGTGAAGGAACACTCGAATTTAACAGATACACAGAAGCGGTTTTATAGAAACGATACACTATAGATTTATAAGTACAAACAACATATATATATATATATATATATATAGCAACAAATGGCTTATGGGACCAGCAATGTGGCGATGTGTACGGTTCTCCGTGGGAGCGCGCCGACTGCATCCGCACGGCGTTCCGACAACATGTAAAAAGTGGTCCTGGCGAGTGTGGGTGGGGGGGGGTGCTGCCTCTCGAGCGAGCCCGGGAGGTGTCCCCAAGGAAACGGCCTGTGGACTCCCAGGCCCAGGGCTTCCACCATGGCCAGCCTTTTCACCCCGAGGCGTCTCTCTGCCCGCTTCTCCGCGGGCAGTGCTCCATCCCCGATGAACTCGTAGACGCCCCTGGGCCCGCAGAGACCCCCAGAGACTCACGCACTCCAGACATCGCCGCGACCGAAGAACGCCATCCGCCAGAGGTCTGCAGACCCCTTGCGCTCAGGAATCCTTGCTTTCATGGTGACACCCCCAAAGACCTCGAAAAATATTTCGAGGGAGGGATGGAGGAGGAGGAGGAGGAGATGCAGGAGGAGGAGGAGGAGGAGGAGGACGGTGAGGAGGGGGACGAGGCCCCTTTTCTTCGTGGCGAAGTCCTCGAAGACCTCCTCCTGCGTGCCGGGCGTCCAGACGGAGTCGAATGTAAACGAGTGGTCGTTCACCTCGACGGTCTGCACATTGATCTGCTTGGTAACGTCGGTGTCGCCCGCCGCCAACTCCTCGGAGGAAACAGAGCAACAACAAATTTACCGCCAGCAGCCCGAGCGAACTGCATTGGATCGGAACTGGACCCCCCCGGCGGCGCCTCCTGGCACGCCCCTGGCACGCTCTGGAGGGCTCCAGCGCCGGTCCGAGACATCCGCGCGGCCCTCCGACAGCTTCCGGGGAGCGGAAGGAAGGAAGGGGAGGAGCAGCAGCAGGAGGAGGAAAGAGAGGAGGAGGAGGAGGAGGAGGAGGAGGAGGAGGAGGAGGAGGAGGAGGAGGAGGAGGAGGAGGAGGAGGAGGAGGAGGGAGGAGGAGGAGGAGGAGGAGGGGAGAGATGCAGGAGGAGGAGGAGGAGGAAAAGGAAAAGGAAGAGGAGGAGGAGGAGGAGGAGGAGGAGGAGAAGGAGGAAACGAAGGAGGGAAAAGGAGGAGGAGGAGGAGGAGATGCAGGAGGAGGAGGAGGAGGGGAGGAGCCCAGCGCCGGTCCGAGAGATCCGCGCGGCCCACCGAAAGCTTCCAGGGAGCGGAAGGGAGGAAGGGGAGGAGCAGCAACAGCAGCAGCAGGAGGAGGAAAAAGGAGGAGGAGGAGGAAAGGGAGAAGGGAAAAGGAGGAGGAGGAGAGATGCAGGAGGAGGAGGAGGGGGAGGAGACGCAGGAGGAGGGGAGGAGGAACGCCGCCCCTGGCACGCTCTGGACGGCCCCAACGCCAGTCCGAGAGATCCACGCGGCCCTCCGAAGGCCTCCGGGGAGCGGAAGGGAGGAAGGGGAGGAGCTGCAGCAACAGGAGGAGGAGGAGGAGGAGGAGGAGGAGGAGGAGGAGGAGGAGGAGGAGGGAGGAGGAGGAGGAGGAGGAGGGAGGAGGGGGAGGAGGAGCGCCGCCTCTGGCACGCTCTGGAGGGCCCTGGCGCCGATCCGAAAAATCCGCGCGGCCCTTTGGCAGCGTCCGGCCGGGAACTTCCAGGCTTCGCGCGTGCCCCCGCGCCTGCCCCGACGACGCGCGCGTCCGAGCCCGGCGAGCGGGCCGCGCGTCGCCCCGAGAGCCGCGGGCCCGGAGGCTCGGAGAGGCTCGGCAAGTTGACCCCTGGGCCCAGGGACATTCACATGTGTGTGTATATATACACACACATATGAATATACACAAATCCAAGGATTCCCCATCTTTTCTGATATGTGCTGGGGTTTCGTCTTCTCCCCCACTTCACGCATCTGCCCATCTTTTCCTGGGGGTCGACGGTTCATGGTGTCTTTGTGATTATTTTCCTCCTGAAGTTGGGACGTGGTCATCACGTCGCGCCGAAGCGTGGTGGGCCAGAGCCAGCGGCGCGACGCGCTGAGCCAAAGATCCCGGCCGCATGCTTCTGCGAGCGTTGGCTCTGCGGCTCCTTCTTGCTGAGCGGGCGGATCCTGCAGAAGACGCGGATGGATCCTTTCAGGTCCTCCACGATGTTGTGCAGCTTCTTTCTTCGCACCTCCGCTTCGTAGATCTTGTCCTCCTTCACGCCAATCTCTAGGGCCGCGAGGATGGCGTCGTTGAGCTTCTCCTCGTAGGGGGAAGCCAAGAAGGGCATAAACACTCAGAGCTCCGCGCGGATGTCTTGGTTCAGGGCCCAGCCGCCCCCCCCCCCTGGCGCGCGGAGAGCGCCAGGGGAGGCACGCGATGCGCCGCCAGGGGGACCTTGCGCCGATCCAATGAATGAGCGCGGAGCTCCCAAGATTCATGCCTATTTGTGAAATTTTTGACTACTGCTTCAATCTCCTTGGCTGCTCTCACGGCGTCAATCTCCTTCATGTCGCACGACATGGTCTCCTCCATCACCTCCTTCACCTTGGCAAGCAACTTCACCTTCTCGGCCTCCTTCTTCACCACCTCCTCCGCCTGCGTAATCTCGGAGTTGGCCAGCCCCGCCCTCCTGCCCATCTCGATGGCCTCCTCGAGTTTCGCCATGTCGCCAGCGTCGATGGCCTCCTCGATGGCGTCCCGGGCCTCCGCCTTCGGCGCCTCAACGGCCAACGCCTCCTCCGCCTGCTGCACCGTAGCTGCGTCGACGCCCGCCTCTTTCGCTTGGGAGATGGCAATTTTCAGCGCTGTGATGTCCATGGACTCCAGCGCCTCCTTGAGGGCCTTGGTGGCCGCCTCCTTGTTCTCTGATCCCTTGAGCAGCTCCTCATACTCAGCGAGGTCGGAGGCACTCACGCCCACCTTGGTGGCCTCTTTGATGGCCTTCTTGAGGACCTTCACGTCGCCACTGCCGGCGGCGGCGACAAGCTTCTTCTTCGCCTCTTCCTTGGGCTCCTCCTCCTGGAGAACCTGCCTTGGAGGGAACAACAAGGGCATAAACATAAACTTTCGACGGTCCGCGCGGAGCGTCAAACATTTATGCTTGCGGCGTTTTGTATCATTGGATGCCTGGCTTGCTCGATGTCTTTCTTGCTCAACTTGAGCTCCTCCGCCCTCTTCACCGCCACCTGGAGCGCCGTCACGTTCCTCTCCTGGATGGCCACCCGCAGCTGCTGCGAGGCCAGCGCCATCTCAGAGAGCTTCTGGCACCTGGCCTCCGCCTCCGCCACCTCCGCCTCGGGCACGCCGGCGCCCTTGGCGACGTCGATCGCGCCCTTGAGCTCGGCGGCAGTGACCTTGGGGTCCTTCAGCAGCACAGCGAGCTTCTTGAGGGCGCGCTGCTGGGCGTTCGACTCCTCCGTCACCACCTCAACGGTGACCTCCGCCTTCGGGTCCTCGGGCTCCTGCGCGAGGGCCTCTGCCATCCCAATGCCCACGGCGCTCATCCGCTTCTTCACCTTCTTCTTCTCCTCCTTCTCCTTGTCCCCGACCTCTTCCGGGCAGTGCCGAGGGGTTTCGCCGCTGGGGGTCCGGTCACCTCCTGCTGAAGACGGACCCACCCCCTCCGGACCTCCCAGAACCCCCCACCCCAACAAGGGCTCCCAACTTCGCGCTTCGCGCTGCGCGAAGCGCGAAGTGCGAATAACTTCGCGCTCTCGCGCCGCCTCCCAGGGGAGAAGAGGAGGAAGAGGAGGAATCGGAGCCGAACCGCGAAGCGCGAATAACTTCGCGCCCTCGAGGGCGCCTTTGCCCCAAGGACTCCCGAGCACGGCCAAAGCGGGCGTGAAAAGACTCCTCGAGCCTCGATCCCCGCTCCTCAGTCCTCGACCTCTGGGAGGGGTGATGTCCCTTCCAGTTGTGCCCCCCCTTCGCACTGCCCTAACCTCATGTTGCTCCCGTCGTACTTAAGGACCACATCCCAGAAATAATTTCGAGCACCCGGAAGAGTGTCGAAAGAGTGTCGACACAGTGTCGAAACAGTGTCTCCCAGGGCCCGGCAAGTGAAAACCCTCAAGTGGTTGGGCACTTCTCCGGTGCTCGAAATTCTTTCTGGTCGTCCATGCCAAAGCAGGTTGGAACATCATAACCCAAACCTTCTTCTTCGTCTTCTTCTTCGGCTTCTCGTCGCCCTCGGCCGCCGGGGCGGCCTCCTCGCCCTCCTCGGGCTTCTTCTTCTTCTTCACCTTCTTCTTCGCCTTGTCCTCCCCGTCCTCCGCCTCTGCACCTTGAAGGCCGCCGACAGGCGGGGCTCCAGCAGGTGGGGTCGGAGGATGGAGCCGCACCGCCGATGCATCGGCGAGGATGGGACTCGACGAGCGCGCTCCGCTACTCGCAAAGTCACTATTCGCAAATTGCCTGGATCCCCCGCGGGGGATCTACGATAAACTACATCAAAGCAGACATGTGCTTTTGGGCCGCTTGCGACGAGGCACTGTGCGATTAGTGGAACGCGCTCGGTGAGGGACGGAGCATATGGGAGTCTGGACGTCGCCGCATCTAAACAAAGAAACCGCGGCATCAGCATCAGCTGCCGGAGCTCTGCGCGGACTTCTGGGACCTGCGCTGGGCCCCCCGTCTCTGGCTCGCGGAGTGCGCCATGGGCGGCGCCGGAGGCGCTGCCAAGGGGCCCAGCGCCCATCCGAGAAGTCCGCGCAGAGCTCCACATTTTATGATTAGTCCCCAAGCAGTGCTTGCGCTGAAGGGGTCCTAGCAGAGGTTGACAGATTTGGAGAAAATTTCCCGCCGATTTTGGTGGCAAGCTGGGTTCCCGGGCTCCCAGTTCCGGTTTTTCGGCTTCCTGGCTCCTGGCTCCAGGCCGAGTTCGGATGGGTTCTGGGTTCCAGGGCTCCCCGGCCGATCTCCTCAGCGAAAACCATCCACTGATTGGGGCTTTTCTCTGGTGGCATGTTGATTTCTGTATCTCGAGGCTCCCCCCACAATTGTACAATCATCGGCCTGACCTGAGGAACGATAAATAAAAAACGAAGCCCCTTTTTTGCCCAAGGAATAACGCATAAGGAACGATAAATAATGAATAGCGCATAAGAAACGACACATAACGCATGCAAACCCAAGGAACCACCGAGCCCCTCTTGAAAAGTAAGTGTTCCTTATTCAAGCCGCTCGCTGTATGGACCCCTTCCGAAGGTCTGGACCCCTTCCCGGGAACGGTTCTTCATCGCGGGTCGTGCTTGGCCAGTACCCGGGGCCAGTGAGGGCCCCGGGCGGCAAAGGCAAGGAATAGAGACCTCCAGTCGTGCCCGCTTCACGGCGTGAGGACGCCATGGGCGCAGGAACGGAGAGCAGCGAGCACCACGGCCAAGCCTGCACCGCCCAACTTGGTCATCGTCGAGTCGTGGACACTCCTCGCGAAGCGGGGACACTCGGCATGGGCCATGTCCAAGACCGGCGTGGACAAGGCCCCGCGGCATCTTGGCCATGGTCATCGTGCGTCTTCCCTCGAGCACAGCTGATGCAACGGCAATGCTGCACAACCCGCCGGTCTCCTCCGCCAGAGGGCTCCAATTCTGGCGGCCACGGAGCACCTTGCGGCGTCGCGGCATCCTGGGCGACGTCCACGTCGCGCTCGTCGTTGCCCTCGCCCTCGCCGGGCTCGTCGTTGTCCTCGGGGAGGCCCGACACGGCCCCGCACTGCTTGAGCATAACGAACAGCTCCGTGTGCCCAAAGTTGGTCGCGTAGTCCAGGCAGGTGTGCCCCTCGAAGTCCTTGACGTTCAGGTTGGCCTGGGCCGTCACCAGCCTCTGCACCACCCTCTGGTCGCCATTTGCCACCGCGAACATGAGCGGGGTGCACCCGTTGTGGTCACGGGCCTCCTTGTTGGCATCGGCCTCGATCAATGCAGAGACGATCTCGACATTCACCGTGTCTTCGCTCGACGCCTTCGCCCTCTTGCACGAATGGTGCAGCGCGCTCTTCGCCTACAGTAGTTAAGCTTGACATGACCATACATTTTCGAAGATCCGCGCGGACTTGTCGGGTCGGTGCTAGACCCCTCTTTCCCCTGGCGCGAAGAGCGCGCTGGGGGCGCCGCTGTAGGGGGGATCCAGCGCCGACCAAAAAAACCCACGTGGATCTTCAGAATGGTGCGTCCGCCGAGGAAGACCAGATACAGATACCGCCACTCCCTGCACCTCTCGGGGGGGCGTTCTGACCAGGTCGTCTAAGCGAGACCAACCGTGGCGACGAGAGAATGTTTGCGGTATCGGCATAATCCGCTCCTCTGATGTGTGCCATATTTGTTCCTCGTGGTGTGCCGTGTCGTCCACTGCGTTGACGTCTACTTCCTTCGTTTTCGAGAGGAGGTAGTCGACAACCTCCTTGTGACCAAAGGCGCACGCGTATATCAGGCAATTCTTGCCGCGGATGTCGCTGCTGTTCAGGTTCGGCCGGCTGGTGAACTTGGACATCATGCCAGAGCTGCCCTCGACAATCCTCTGGGCGGACGAGGGCCCGGATCCCCGACGGCGTTTTTTTTTGTTTTTTCTATCCTGGCGCGTTGCCTCGATCTCGACCGCTGGGGCCCGTTGCCCAGCCTTTGATGATCTGGGGCGAAACGCTGTCTCCAGGGAAGGCGTGGGGACCTCCTGATGGGCAAGTTTTCCACCACCACTACCATATGTAGGTCGGTGGAGAAGGGAGGATGAGGAGAGGTTCTCCTCCTCCTCCTCCTGCTCCTCCTCCTCCTCCTCCTCCCTCTGCTACATATGGTAGTGGTGGTGGACATTGGGCCCATCACCTCCAGGCCCGCAAATCGAACAAACATCACACCGTCAGCTGAACGACAAAAAAAGAAGCGGGCCTTACGCGAGATGGCATCGCGACCTTGCGCCGCGGCCTCCGTGGGCCGCCTGCGCGGCACGCCGCGTGCAGTGGAGGGCGCATGCGCGCGGCGTGCCGCAGGAAGCTCAGGCTGAAGGTCGGCGCAATCGACCGCATTTTCTCGGCGGCGAGCCCGGGGAGGGAAGTGAGAAGGGGCGAGCCTTCCCAGAAGGCTCGGGAGTCCCCAGGCCTTCGGCGCAGTTTCCCCAGCCTTCCCCGAAGGCAAAAGCTAGCCTGGCGAAGGACTCAACCATATGCAGTTGTGCACACCGTTGTATGCGCCGCATTCGGAGGAGCTCCCCATAGAGCCACGAAGCGAGTGAGGGTGTGCCAACATGGGTGCGGCGGGCGCATGCGAGCGCTTGCATTTGGGCCTTCGGGGGGGGCTCTCTATGGAGCCACGAAACGTGAGGGGTGTACCAAAATGGGTGCGGCGGGCGCATGTGAACGCTGGCATCTGGGCCTTCGGTGGGGCTCCCTAAGGAGCCACGAAGCGTGTGAGGGTGTGCCAACACGGGTGCGGCGGGCGCATGCAAGCGCTTGCATTTGGGCCTTCGGTGGGGCTCCCTATGGAGCCACGAAGCGTGTGAGGGGTGTACCAAAATGGGTGCGGCGGGCGCTGCGAACGCTTGCAATTGGGCCTTCGGTGGGGGGCTACCCGTGGAGCCACGAAGCGTGTGAGGGGCATGCCAAAATGGGTGTGGCGGGCGCATGCGAGCGCTTGCATTTGGGCCTTCGGGGGGGCTCTCTATGGAGCCACGAAGCGTGTGAGAGGTGTGCCAAATGGGTGCGGCGGGCGCATGCGAACGCTGGCATCTGGGCCTTCGGTGGAGCTCCCTACGGAGCCACGAAGCGTGTGAGGGGCGTGCCAAAATGGGTGCGACGGGCGCATGCGAACGCTGGCAAATCGGCCTTTGGTGGGGGGCTCCCTATGGAGCCACGAAACGTGTGAGGAGCGTGCCAAAATGGGTGCGGCGGGCGCTGCGAACGTTTGCATTTGGGCCTTCCGCGGGGCGCCCTATGGGCCACGAAGCGTGTGAGGGGTGTGCCGAAACAGAGACATTCGGAGGGCATAAGCGAGGAGGGGAAGGAAGGAGGAGGGGAAGGAGGAAGGAAGGAAGGAAAACGCAAGGACCGTCTCTTCAAAACGAGGACCCAACACCACAAGATGGTTGGGAAAAACCTCTCGGAAGGCTGGAGGGCTTCTGAGAAGCCCCGCTGCCTTCTAAGAAGGCCTTCTCCTTCTCATTCCCCCCCCTCGATTTTCTACGACAAACCCCCAGATAGGGCCGCGCACGATTGGTACTTGCGGAGCGCGGCACGGCACGCTGAAAATGTAGTGCCACGCGCTGTGGCCAGATCTGACAGCTCCGACTGCCGCGGATCGGAGCTTTCTCTGGAACTGCCTCGCAGAGGGGTCATCGACGAAATGTTGCGGAAGATGGTTGAAAATAGACACTATATCGAAAACGAACCTGCACATCATTGGATGCATGCCGGCGTCGACTGTATCACGCAGCGCCCTGTTGCGCATGCGCCTTCCTCCACCAAAGGCGTGGCTTTCGAGGTTGCCCGTCATGGGAGGAAACAGTGCACAAAATACCTGACGCTAACCTCGCCATCGCTCACCGTCTCTGACCTCGCCACCGCTCACCTCACCACCGCCACCTCGCCATCGCTGGGACGTCCATTATCCGTGCATTTTCCGGTTTCGTGCGTATTCTTTTTGCCCGATGATCCAAGATGCTCCTCGATGGTCCCCGCCGAGAAAACATGCACGCGTCCGAGCGGTGCCAAGGCGCTCGCGCAGACGCTTTCCTCGGCGCCTCCCAGGCGCCGGACGCGCACGTCCCGCGGCGAGGCCGAACTCCCCACTGCCCCATTCCCCCCTTCAGTGAGCGGGCGAAAAAACCGCATACCATGCTTGGGCGCGAACTCAGGGGGGGTTGATGACTGGGGGAGGAGAACCCCTCTCGGGCCCTAAAGGGCCTCTTTTCGGCCGCCCTCGCTATACCCCCCCCCATTCTTTCGCCACCCCATTGAGACGCGCCCAACCATCCGCCGCCCCCCGCTTGACGGGGGGCGACGAGGCGCGTGAGACACTTGGCTGTCCCCCTCCCTTCCCCCCCTTACTCCAGGTTCAAGAATCGCGCTTGAGGGGGGGGGGTAGGAGGGATTCACCTTTGTTTCATCCGAATGAAATCTCATCCGTTGTATCTCATCCGTTCAATTTCATCAGTTCAACTTCACCCGTTTTGTGTCATCCGGTTTCACTTCGCCCGGGCTTAAATCCATCCAGTGCTATCGCCCCTGGCTGGCCGTGGACAAACCTCCCTTCAGCAAACCTCCCCTTAGTGAAAACGGCCTGGGACCGAAACCGACGGACCTGGACCCGCAAAAATGACTGCCGCGACGCCCTCTCGCGAACCGAACACGGCCAATTCCTTCATCGACGTGTCATGCTAGGAGGTCTGTCCACCCCCGACCTGGTTCGGGCTCCCAAACGCACCCCCTGGGGGCCTCGGGAGCGTTCAAATCTGCACGCCGATGCTCCAAGCCTGGGGGCAGGGATGGAGTGAGGGGCGAGGGGGGGGAGGAGGAGGAGGAGGAGGAGGAGGAGGAGGAGGAGGAGGAGGAGGAGGAGGAGGAGGAGGAGGAGGAGAAAGAGGAGGAGGAGGAGGAGGAGGAGGAGGCCCAAGCCTGGGCTCCCACTCGCCGAGGGGAGCTCGAGATGGCCTCGAGGCTGCTCACTTGACCTCCAAGGCGCCCCAAGGAGGGCTCCACGAGGACCCCCGAGGAAGCCCCAGGAGGCAAACCTCGCCTCACACTATTGAGACAACTGGTAGGTTTCACATGTTCGCCCCGTCGGTCTCGACAGCGTCCAAGAAGACTGCTCAAGAGGACCCCGAGATCGCTCAAATACGGCCCAAGAAGCCCCTAAGAGGGTCCCAAGACGGCCCAAGAGTCGCTCAAGACGACCCAAGAGTCGCCCAAAGTGGCTCAAGAGGGCCCCAGAAGGGGCAACTCTAACTGATATTTCCAGCCCTCTGCCCTAAGAGGGCCCCGAGACCGCCAGCATGCGCCCGATGAGCCCCCAAGCGACCCCCAAAAGGCCCAAAAGAGGACCCCGAAGGGCCCACGCGTGGACCTCGTTTTCCTCTGGGGGTCGGCGGAATGGCGTAGGCCCCTTACATAAAATGTTCCGCCATCTGGGACCCCGTCGCAAAAGAGATTGCGCAAATGATGTGGGGGCAGGAACTTTCTAGCCGCCTTGGGTCGGGTCGGGCGAAAGGGGGGGATAGCAAAGGGGGGGTTTGAGAATCAGCTCACGTAGCTGATTTTCCCGGCGCCTCCCGGCGCCGGAGGCGGCTATGTATCGAGGAATGGGACCCTCGGTGAGGCCGAAACCAGCTGCATGCAGCAGATTTCGTAACCCCCCCTTTCCCAATCCCCCCCTTTCGCCCGGCCCGATTGGGGCGCGGGTCCCCGATGGCGGAGCAAGTTGGTCAGTACCGCTCCTCGCCCGCTAGCTCAGGAGCGGCCAACATCGAATCGACTACCGGATCAGATCGGAACAGACATCGGATCGGGTCGAATCGGCACGGATGCAAAGTCGAATCGGATGCGCAGCAACGCCATGCAAATATCCGGCAGTATCGGATCGTCGGAACATCGGGAAAGAATCGGATCGTGCCAGCCAAAGCCGTTATCGACTCGGATCGAAACGCACCCTGCCTGCTCTGTGGGGCAAAACGGCCGAACATGGTGAAAACTTGGCCGCCTCGACCTTTTCGAGGCGTCGGATGCTTCGCGTTTGGGTCATATAAACCTCTGGCCCCAGGTGATCCGTTGTGAACGACTCGGGGGCCCTGGGAAAGCCCTCGGCGAGGCGAAGCTGCTGGAAAGCACCCCCCCGAGGCTGGAGACCCTCCAGGAGTCTGCGAGAACGTGGGAGAAACCTCGGACATCCTCTTTCTCCTCCTCCTCCTCCTTCTCCTCCCTCCTTCCTCCTCCTCTCTCCTCCTCCTCTCCTTCTGCTCCTTCTCCTCCTCCTCCTCCTCATCCTCCTCCTCCTCCTCCTCCTCCTCCTCCTCCTCCTCCTCCTCCTCCTCCTCCTCCTCCTCCAGGTCCACCCCCTCCTCCTACTCCCCCTCCTCTTCGAGGCGACCCGCGGCTCCCCCACCACTTCCCTTCAGGGAGGGGTACCCTCCCCCTCCCCTCCCTGAGATCCTGAGGTTGCCCCAAGGCGTATCAAGATAGCTGAAGATGGTTCAAGATGGCCTCCGACGTACCTACAAAAGGCCTGACGAAAGTCACAAGACAATTCCAAGTGCTCCCGGACCACCCCCCAGGATCCCCCCATGAGGCCACAATCCTTCAAACACCCAGGAACACATGGAGTATTGTTGCTTTCTCGCCTTTTCGCTTCCGATGCGCTTATGAGGCCTCAAGATTGCCCGAAGATGGACCAAGAGAGCCCCAAGAAAGACCTAACAGAACCCCCAGACGGCCCCAAGAGCGCCCAAAAGCACCGCAAAAGCGCCCCAAGGGAGCCCCTAATGACAAATTTGAGGGCCCGAGAGGGGGAGGGGGGGGGGAGCTATGACACCCCAATATGTTGATCGATTGCCTAAAAGTTGGCCCTGCGAAGCTCCCTCGGGCTCCCAGGGGAGCCCCACGAGAGTCCCAAGAGGGCGCCACGAGGGCCTAAGAGCGTTCAGCGAGGGCCTCCTCCTTATCCTCCTCCTCCTCCTCTTCCTCCTCCTCCTCCTCTTCCTCCTCTTCCTCCTCCCCTAACTCCCCCGCGGGCCCCAGGCCCTCCAAGGCCACTCCCTTGCTCCGAGAGATCTCTATATATTCATCCTGGCTGCCCGCTCTGTTTCACTATATGTACATCTTCGTCCCTCTCTTCCCGTCAACTCTCATGGGCGGGGCTTCTGAACGGTCTGGTGGGGACACGCGGAACGCGACGAGCTTGGAGGCGAATCCGGCCGTGGCGACGAGAAGTCTTCCTTCCAGAGGGTACAACAAACCTCGGTACTTCGACGTCGAAGTTCGAACTTCGTCCAGCCCGAGGAGGAGGAGGAGGAGGAGGAGGAGGAGGAGGAGGGGGAGGAGGAGGAGAGGAGGAGGAGGAGGAGGAGGAAGAGGAGGTCCTCTTCAGCTCCTGGAGGTCGTTGGACCTCGCCGCCTCTAGCAGGGTCTTGATCTTGGTGCTGCTCGCCCCGAACATGCCTGCCTTAGGGGCCTCGACCTTGCCGCCCTCGGTGACCTGCGGAGGGTCGCCGTCGTCGTCGTTGTCGTCGTCGTGGCATACAGTAGACACACACGCACGGTGATTGAGCAGGGGCCGACAGTCCTGCCAGTTCTGGAGGTCTACCACGGCATGCTCGTATGAGGAGACCGTGCTTCAACATCAAGACACGTCCTCAACACTCCAGAGCGGCGTGGTGAGACAAACCGGACTCAGCCAGACATGCTCTTATGTAGGAAATCCATGTCGTGGGACCTCAAACAATTAAGATCCTTTGGTGCTCCCGTGGGCATTTCAGGGCGCTTCGCCACTGCTTGAGGTGGGAGTCGTGCCATAATATGTTTGTTGGGAGGGTGGGAGGGCCCCTATCGGTCCCCCCACAGTTTTTGTGGGCCCTTGGCCCTCAGACGATAAGAAATCCTACCGGCACTCTGTGCGTAGGTAGTCTGAGAGTGCTACTTGTTTCGTGTTCCAAAAACCCTCCTCCATTCGAAGGAGGGTACCCTCCCCCTCGGTTCCCTGAAGTTTTTTTGGGGGGACCCGCGACGTGTCAGAGGACCCTGTTTCGCCGAAGATGGCTTCGACAGGGCCTCCAATACTCCAAGACGGCTTCCAGGATAGTTCAAGATAACGGCGATATCTCAAGGTAGCTTCCAACATGGTCCACGAGGCCCCAAAGACCGTTCAAATACTGCCACGAGTACTATCGGAGTCCCACCAGGACCTCCCCAAGAAATCACACTCGTTCAAACACCAACGACCAATTAATGAGTGTTGTAGTCTCGCCGTTTCGCGTCTGGTTAGCTTCTGAGGCCTCACGATCGCCTCAGGGATCACCACGAGAAGGCCCCAAGGAGGGACCTACGAGGCGGTTTCAGAGGCTCTCGATGGGGGGTTGAATTGGGCTCCACGATGACCTAAAGACACCCCAAAAGAGCCCCAAGAGGACCCCAACAAGACCACCAAAGAGGGCCCCAAGAGGGCCCCGAGACAGCCACAAGAGGACGCCAAAAAGGTCTCAAGGAGATCCCAAGATGGCTGCCAGAGTCCTTGTCCGCGTCCTCGTCGTGCTCCTCCTCCTCCTCCTCCTCCTTTCCCTCCTTCTTCTCCTCCTCGTTCTCGCTATCTTCGTTACGTTCCTCCTCTTCCTCATTGTCCTCCGCCTCGTCCTCCTCGTCCTCTTCCTCTTTCTCGTCCTCTTCCTTCTCCTCCTTCTCCTTCTTCCCACAGCCCTGAAGACGAACGCGTGAGGTCTCCATGCGTGCATCGTCAGCGGTAAGAGAGGCAAGGCAGAGACACGGAGAGAGAGAGAGAGAGAGAGAGAAGCGACGATGGCCCTCCTGTGCCCTCCTCGCAATACGCCGAGAGAGGGGCGTACAGATGGGCACCAGCAGTTTCCAGACTTGCGCCCCCCCCGAGGCATGGGGGCACATTTTGACGAGAAGGCCGAGGCGATCACCGCAGCAAGGTCAGAGTCAGCCTGGCTGCTGTCTAAGGGTGCACTTTCAGGTACAGCGATCACCACAAGGCACCGACGGCCCCCGAGTGGCACGCAGCTCGACGAGACTGTCGGAGACACGGTCGACAAAGAAAGAACGCATATACCCGACCTCGCGGGCTCCACTCGCGGGGCAGATGAGCACGCTGGGTTTGGGATCTCAAGGGCACTGCGGCCGCCAGCCCCGAGGATGCCGAGCACCACTCAAGCTCCAACGCAACAGGGAGACAAGCATCCTCTTCCTCGTCTGTCTCCTCCTCGTCCTCCTCTGTCCTCCTCCTTCTCCTCCTTCTATCCCTCCTCCTCCTCCTCTTCGTTCCCGTGTTTGTCCTCCTGCTCCTTCTCCTCCTCGAGGTCCTCCTCGCACCTCTCTGGGCAGCTGTTCCACTGCACGCGTCTACACTTCCCTGAGCTCGGGCACCGCTTCAGGATCTCTCCCGCCCGTTGCACGTCAGCTCTCATCGGCAGCGATTATGAATGGGCTTGTCCGGATAATTACTTTTTGTCGCAACCGCAGGCGAGAGCGCCAGCGGCGATTCAGGTCCGAGCGGGCCGCGCAAGAGACGAATTACCTGACGCCGACGGGCCGGCGACCTCAGCAGCGCCTCGGTTGGGCCTGCGCGAGGGGGGTGCAAGCTGCAGCTGCCAGGGACCAGGTCCAGGAGCGCGCACATGCAAGATTGACCAACCAGGGTTGGGGCGCAGCCACAATGGCGCGGGGGTCGTACCGCTGGTCGGGATACGCGAAACGCGATCAATTTCCGCGGGGCACCTGCAGGCCGGCCGGCCGGCCTCTAACTGCATGTGAACTCTGTAAATCAAAAACACGTCGTGACGACCCCGGTGTTGGTTTCACACACCGCGTGGATCGTTCAGCCTGGAACGATCAACAGTCTGATCGCCAAATCTTTCCGTATTGGTCGACTCTGGGCCACTGGCTGCGTTCAACCGTGAGCGCGCGCGGTGGGGTCACCGCCGCGCGAACCTGCCGTGCAGTCCACCTTGCGAATACGAAGAGCCTGCACAAGAACTCAGACCCTCGAGCCTGGAGTTTCGGTCAGACACCTCGAGGCTATGTTCCAGCAATTCGCAAGGGGTTCGTCGCAGTGTCGCTGATCTGGAGTCTTGATAGTCCCAGAATCTGTGCGAACTCTGGAGCGTCCCTGGATCACGACATCGTGTGAGGACGTCCAAATGAAAGCATGTGGCGGATTCCGGAAACCCCGAACTCAAACTTTGTTTCATCTCGTGGGAGGTCGACTTTTGCCTCCGCCGCCCTTTTGGCCATGTTTCACTTCCGCCGACCTTCCGCCGCCTTCCGCCGAGGAAGAGATGACAACCCCCTTGTCCTCGAACGCGAGGCCACTTTTGGAGCGCCCCAGATGTACACCTAAGCTGTCTAAGGTCCGTGCGGACTCCCATGGATCGGCGCAAGGCCCCCCCCCCCTTGCGGCGCCTCGGGTGCCGCTCCTGGCGCGATCCGCGTGCTGGGGAGGGGGGAGGGTGCCAGGGCCAGCCCCAGAAATCCGGCCCGACCTGCGCACGATTCATGTCTTTATTCATCTATATTGAATGGGCCCTGGGACACACAAATAAATACACACAAATAAAAGGATCCCCCATATTTTCCAATATTTTCTGGGTTTTTGTCTTCCCCCCCACTGCTCATGTTTTCCAATATTTTCTAGGAAATCGACGATTAATTGTGTCTGTGTTTTTTTTCCTCCTGACATACATGTTCTTAAATCCGCACATACCTATATCTTTGTAATCTAGAAGTTGCGGACCCCCCCAAACAAAAAAAACTGACCCCCCCAGGATGCCCCGGAGGCCCCCTGAACGCCCCATCAATTAGTCCCTTGGACTTTCCGGGCTCCTGAAAATCCCTGCTGGGCGGCCCGGGCCAAAATCGGTCAGGACGGCAGCCAGCTGAGGGCCCCAAGAGACCCCAGACACCCACCAGACGCCAGAAGACGACCCAAAGAACACCCTCAAGCGGCCTTCGAAACGAAAAAACAAAAATCCCGTGGGTTCTTGCACGATCTGGGGAACGCTCTGTTCTTCGGTCTTCCAGGCGTCCGAGACCGCCCAGGAAGCCCGAAAGTCGCCCTACAATTTATTCAAGGGGGCTTCCAGGCAGTCCAAGAGAGCCTCATCACGGCCCAACAGGGTCTCAAGATGGCCCGAAGACATCCCCACGAGGGCCCAGGATGGTCTCAAGGCGGCCCAAGATGGCCTCAACACGCCCCCCGAAGCATTCCAAATCGTGGCCAGGTCGTTCCGGGAGACCGCGGTTGGAAGCATGGTGGCCCGAAGAAGCCTCCAGAGGCGCCCAGCAGGCCTGCAGAAGGCCCCAAGAAGCCCTTCACAACTTTCGTGAGGCCTCCGAGAGGCTCTTCAAGGAGGAGCCACCGCCAGTGCAGAGGAGGATGGACAAATGCCATGGTAGGCCGAGAAGGAGGGAGAGGAAGAGGAATCATGCACAACACATTCTGATAACACGAGCACGCCACCGATGTCGGAACAAAGGCTACAGGAATGTATCGCTGCACTTTAATGCTATACAGTCCTGCCTGTCTGCCTGCATCCTGAACTTCAAGGGCCAAGGCGCGAAGCGCCAACGCAATCTTGTGTGCAGATCGTAATACCTGTATCTATCTATACACACATTATAGTGTATGCGTGTATGTGTGTACACACATATCTGTATGTCTAGATGTGTGTGTGTGTGAGTGTGTGTGCGCCAGCCGAAATCTCAACCGACTGCAGTCACACAGAGGGCATGCCGTGGTCGGCGCTCTGCGGGCGATCGCGCCAAGCCCAGCCCGCTCTGGGGCCCCAGAAGGGGCCCCCAAGACCCTCGCGCTCCAAGCCTTCGCCCCAGGGAGCGGCGCCCGCGTCGCTGTTCTGTCGTGGAGCGGCGGCGGCGGCGGCGGCGCTCGCTCCTCTCCTCCTCCCCTCCTCCTCCCCTCCTCCTCCTCCCCCCTCCTCCTCCTCCTCCTCTCCTCCTCCTCCTCCTCCTCTCCTCCTCCTCCTCCCTCCTCCTCCTCCCCTCCTCCTCCTCCTCCTTCCTCTCCTCCTCCTCCTCCTCCTCCTCTCCTCCTCCCTCCTCCTCCTCCTCCTCCTCCTCCTCCTCCTCCTCCTCCTCCTCCTCCTCTCCTCCTCCTCTCCTCCTCCTCCTCCTCCTCCTCCTCCTCCTCCTCCCTCCTCCTCCTCCTCCTCCTCCTCCTCCTCCTCCTCCCTCCTCCTCCTCCTCCTCCTCCTCTCCTCTCCTCCTCCTCCTCTCCTCCTCCTCCTCCTCTCCTCCTCCTCCTCCTCCTCCTCCTCCTCCTCCTCCTCTCCTCCTCTCTCCTCCTCTCCTCCTCTCCCTCCTCTCCTACTCTCCTCCCTCCTCCTCCTCCCTCTCCTCCTCCTCCTCTCCTCCTCCTCCCTGCGCCTCCTCCTCCTCCTCCTCCGCCTCATCTCTCATCCTCTCTCCTCCTCCTCCTCATGCCCGCGCGCAGATGTCTTTCCTTCGGGCCTTGCCGATCAGCAGCTCCCCGTGCCTCGTGCAGGTGCTGATCCAACCGATCTCCGTCCCTTTCTCCGCCTCGGAGACCTTGACGCGCCGGTTGTTGTGCTTGCCGATCTCGTCGATGCGGACGCGGCTCCCCGGCTGCAGCTCCTGCAGGACCTCGCTCTCGAGCTTCTCCTCGCTCCGCACGGTGACCATCGACTTGATCTCGTGGATGCCGCCCTTCTCGAAGTCCATGAACACCGCACCGATCTCGAGGCCCCGCTTCATGATCAAGGGTTCGTTGAGCTTAGTCTTCGTGCTAATCCAACCCACCGTGCCCTCGTCGCCAGAGACCTGGACCTCGGCGGAGACGGCGGCAACGACAGCGGGGGCCAGGGCGACGACGCCCACGGCGACAGCGAGGACCAGCATCTGCTCAAGGTCGGTCTCGGGACCCCTCCCAAAATCCCCGTCCACCTCGACCCCATTTCGGCGGCATGGGATCCTGGTACAGACATGCGAAACTACGTCAGGCATTCTCGATTCCCAGACGTCGATCCTCGACCCTTGATCTCCGACCCTCGATCCTCGCACCTCGATCCGCGATGCTCCATCCCCGAACCTCGAACCCCACGACCCTCGGTCGCAAACAATCAAGATTCTCAGGGGAACAAAAAGTGACTCAAAAATACAAACTCGGAGGTCCGCGCGGATTTCTCGGATCGGCGGTGGGGCCCCCCGGCGGCGCCTCCGGCGCCGCCCCTGGCGCGCTCCGCGCGCCAGGGAGGGGGGTCCAGCGCTGATCCGAGAAATCCGCGCGGACCTCCGAATTTGTATGAGTATGTCTCTTTTCGTTCCCCTAATTCTCGATCCGCGAGCCTCGGTCGAGAGATGGAGGCCAGTAGAAAGCAAGGAGAACGACGACGAAGACGGCGAGCCGGCGGCGGCCTTCACGCGGCGGCCCTGGCCGACGGCCAGCACCTTGAGCAGCACGCCGACCGAGAGCTCCGTCACCATCTCCGAGTCCATGCCCTCGGACGCCCGCATGGTCACTATCCGCCACCGCGCTTGCAGCGGGTCGAGGATCGACTTAGGGGAACAAAAAGAGACATAAACAAAAAAAACTCGGAGGTCCGCGCGAATTTCTCGGATCGGCGCTGGACCCCCCTCCCTGGCGCGCGGAGCGCGCCAGGGGCGGCGCCGGAGGCGCCGCCGGGGGGCCCTAGCGCCGATCCGAGAAGTCCGCGCGGACCTCCGAGTATTTTGTGTTTATGTCATTTTTTGTTCCCCTATCGACTGCAGTCGAAGCATGGCGGCAGGAACGCGGGTCAAGAGCACGAGCCCCTTCGCCGAAGTCCCTGGGCCCCCATGGAGGTATCCAGAGCCAAGAAGACTCCAAAGTGGAAAGCCCAAGCACGGGGTACAGAAGGGTTGTAATCCAAAGCCAGGGCTGATCTGAACCCTCGCTCCAGCTGTAGGAGACAGCTCTGGGGGGTCTTCGTGAGAACGACGCAGGGGTATTAGGCCCAATTGAGGGGCCAATGTGCCAAACTGCGCCAGATAAGCCCAGGATTGAGCTCAAGCCGGACTAATCGGGGTCAAGACAGATTAGGCTGGATGTAACCGGGCATCACCGGGCCGATGCTGAAGCTGACCTCCCAGGAGCTGCGATCTATGATCGAGGATCGAAGGTGTTCGACGTGCTGTGATCTATGATCGAGGATCGAAAGTGTTCGACGTGTTTGGGCCTCCTGGGGCGCCCACGTCGCCACGGCTGTTTCCGCCGCGTGATCAGGCCCACAGCGCGCTCCTCCCAGACAGGCCCTTTTGGACGCCCGAAATTGGTACGGAGAACATGGGTACAATGCCCAATAACAAATCGTGTTCAGGACTGACAGCGGCCGCTGTTGGGCAGGCCGCTTGTCTTCGATGAACAACGTCCGCGGCGGCGCGGACAGCGGGTCCTGTTCAAAGTGAACAAGAACTGCTGTTGGCCATCGTACCCGTTCGTTCCGTAACCATTTCTGGGGAGAGCAGAGAGGTACCGATACCGCTACTCCCCGGACCTCCCCCAGGGTGCGCTCTGGCCAGGATTTCGAGGCGAATCCAGCGGTGCCGACGAAAGGTAGCAGTAGGGGGACCTCTTCCTCCTCCGAATCTCGATGGTCCCGAGCCCTGGAGCTGGCCCCGAAACAAACAAAAAGTCCACGAAGGAACGACTCAGACCGCCCGCGTCTGCCGGGGGTGCGCAAACATGGATTAGCGATCCATGGATGTGGCGCGCGGTCGCCAAATCCATGGATCGGGGGAGCCCTCCCCAAAAGGCAGCCGGTGCCGACTCGTTCGGCGGCGGGAATCCGCGATGTCCCATGGAAACGGGGCCCGTCGCTAATCCACGCTCCCTCGATCCATGTTTGCGACCGCCCGCGTCTGGTGTCTGTCTCCGCTGCCCCCGGCTCTCCCCCAAGTTCGGCCCGCGAGGGGCTCCACTGGCTCCCTGGCAGTAGCTCGGGCGAGTCCCCCTACAGGGGGATTTTAGGCGAAAGCTGAAAAAATCAACAAAAAAGTGCCCCAAAATCTCCAAACATACTCCGCAAATCGTCCCCCGAGTATCCTTTGACAATTTTTGAAGAATCCTCCTGTAGAGGGACAAGCCCGACTTAACCCTGGCAACCAGCAGGCTACTGTGGATGGCACGTCGCTGTGTGGAACCCTCCTGAGAGCATCAATGTTACAAGAACCCCATGTGTTCGGACAACAAATGCAGGAGTAACGCGCTGACGGATTCCCAACGGCGTCGCGGCATTGATATTTTTCCTAAGAGGGGAGACAGACGGCACAGACATACACTTTCGACGGTGCACGCGGATGTCTCGATCTGCGCTGGACCCCCTCCCTGGCGCACGGAGCGCGCCAGGGGCGGCGCCAGAGGCATTACTCGATTTTCTTTGAATTCGGGGATCTACTGACCCGTGTCAATCCAAACTGGGGTCATCCCGGCTTTGCAGGAGCCCGCACGAGATCCTGCATGAGCCTGCAAGATCCTGCACGCAAGTTCTGGTCAGTGCAACCCTGGCTCTGCAGGATCCTGCAAGACTCGGCGCTCTTGCTGACCCCCGTTTGAACTGACCCCCGTCCCTTGAGTCCCGAGACGAAATCAAGAACCCGACCCCCGGGCCCGTGGTCCAGACCCCCAGGGCTGGGGCCACAACAGGAAAGCGCAGAGGCCATGGGGGGGGGGACCACGCGCCGGGCAGTGTTTGAGCATCGTTTGACCGATCCTCATCCGCACTGGCGTGGCCTGGGCCCCACTGGCCGATTAACCCCCCCAGATGGGGATATAGGCTGGGACCCTCTCGGGCTTCGAGGGGCATATCCCCAACTGGGCTGGTGGGATGGTGGGATGGTGGGGTGGGCATGGGGAGGGGGTCAGAGGTTGGCGAAACGATTCGGACACTTGCCCCGTGTCATGCGGCGTCGATCGGCGGCGAAGAACGCGACAAACAGCCTGGGGCAGGAACAGCCAGCACCGAATCGGGCTACCGGGTTGGAACAAAACGGAGCGGGCCGCATCGGATCGGGCCGCACCAGAACGGGCTCGACATCGACTCCGCACGGCCGCGCCAGGATTGAGCACAAGATTGCCGCCCCCCGCCACCGACAACCGGACCCCCTTGGGCCCCCGAGAAAGCGAGCCTCGAGGCGGCACCCGCAGCGAACGCGCGTCGGGAGGGCCCTCGAGAAGCAGCGGAGGTGAGCCACGAGGGGGAGGATCGCCAGAGGCGAGGAGCGAGGAGCAGGAGGCAGCCGCAACCAAGGGGAGCGAGGAGCGGGGAGCGCCGAGCGAGGAGGGGGGGAGAGAGGAGGGGGGGAGGACGCCCTCCCGCCCTCGCCGCCCTCCTGCCCCTCGCCGCCAGCCGCCCTCTCCCGCACCCCGTCCCGCATCGCATCGCGGGGGCGCCCCGTGGCCACTCCGTCCTCTGTCTCGGCTCCTCGCCTCCTCCCCCCTGTCGAGCAGGGACCGACCGTCCCGGCATTCCTATCAGTCCTGCCACGACGTGTTCTTAGAAACCCAAAGATGTTCTCGGAACAAAAACCAAGGTTCTTAGAACATGAGCCCGATGCGATAAAACAAGGCAGTCCCAACCAGAAATGCTCTGACAACATCTCATGGGAAACACAAAAGGCTCTTAGACCCTTGTTTGGTAGGACTGTATTGAGTCTCCTCCCCCCTGTCCCATCCCCCATCCCCCGCTCCCGTGCGCGACCCCATCCCCTGCCCACCTCTTTCGGGCCGGGCGAAAGGGGGGGATAGCAAAAGGGGGGTTTGAGAATCAACTCACGTAGCTGATTTTCCCGGCGCCTCCCGGCGACGAGAGGCGCCCATGCAGCGGGGCCGAAACCAGCTGCATGCAGCAGATTTCGTACCCCCCCCCCCCCTTCCCTATCCCCCCCTTTCGTTCGGCCCGACTGTTGCCCCTGCGCCCGACCCATGTGCACAGCGCATCCCTGACCCCCCTTGTGCCCGTCCCTGCTCGTGCCTCCTCCCGGCCCTGCCCCGTGCCCCTGCGCACTGGCCCATGGTGACCATCCCCGATCCCTGCACTGAGGTCGAGCATGCCCCTGTATACAGGGAGAGCACTCAACAATAGCCAAAACAAAATAATCGGGGAACGAGATTTCTGCTCTTTTTTTTGACAATGTTTGAACATCTGTTGACTCTGCTTTGATTTTTTCCTACCAGAGTCCGCCTGTCGGAGGACATGCCCGACCTAGCCCTATATAACCAGCCTCGAACGTATCCCTATCCCTGAGATGGGCGAGCAAAAAGCGAGGACAATCTTAGGGACAGGCCCTCAGAAACGGAGGAAGTCTCAAGATCGGCACCGAGGTAAGATGACATCAAACACATGTTTCGAACTGGTAACTATCGCCTATTCCCAGTCCCATCCGCCATCCCTGCGCACCCATCCCCGACCTCCCTCAGAGTCCGCAGGCGCCCGCCCGAGCGCACTGGCGGATCCGCGCGGCACAGCCGGCCGGATGGAGAGCACCTCCGCCTCGTCGTCCTCGGTGAAGTCCACCATCTGCCTCACCGAGTCGGTGGTGGCCACGGAGGTGACGCTGCCTCGGCGCCCAGGAGGGGGTACCGATAGTGCAGGGGGGGAGCAATGTCCGGGGGGGCCAAGAGTCCGGGGACCCGAACTGTGAAGGATTTGGGGATGCCTCCTGAACAGTGTCTTGCGCATCTCTGAGACATTCGACTGGAGTACCCATTTAGGGCCAAGCTCGGGACGAATGCGACGAGGCGGTGTCCATCCTAGATTGGGATGCATCCGAACAGCCTGTTGAGCGTGTACTGAGGAGGAGGAGGAGGAGGAGGAGGAGGAGGAGGAGGAGGAGGAGGAGGAGGAGGAGAAGTAATTAGGAGGAGGAAAACGAGGAGGAGAATGAGAAGGAGGGCGGAGGCGGAGGAGGAGGATGGAGGAGGATGAGGAGGGAGGAGGGAGGAGGGAGGATGAGGAGGGAGGAGGAGAAGGAGGAATAGAAGAGGGAGGAGGGAGGAGAAAGAGGAGGAGGAGGAGGGCGGAGGCCCGACCATCCCGTCCGCACCGAGCTCGATCGTACGGATCCTCCGCTCCCTCCTCCCCGGACGCGGCGACGTCGGGCGGGCAGGCCGCCTCGGCTCCCTGGCCCGAACTTGAAGGCGCTCGTGGCCCCGCGCTTCATGGCGGCGATGCCGGCCGACGCCTGCGCGCGGTCGCCGCCGCCGCCGTCGGCGCCGGCGTCGTCGCCGTCTGCTGCGCTCTGGCGCCCCCACCCTCCCTCGTGTTCGGATGCAACTCCTGGGAGGTCAAATTCTGATTTTGCCCTGGTCCGAAGTCCGGCTTAATCCGGGTGAATCCTGCTAAATCCCGCTGAATCCGGCTTAATCCCGCTTGATCCAGTTTAATCCTGCTTAGTCCGAGGCCCACTCCGGCGTAGCAGCCCCCGAATGGGGCTCAATCCTCCCTGATCTGTCCGACGAAGACCTCCCAGTAGTTGCC